CCATAGGAACTAATGCAAAGCTGGTTAATACGTACTCTACCACTGGGGGAGAACTTTTTTTTAACCTAAGATGACCTAAGGTTAAAAAAAGACCAGGAAAGTTTTTTTTTCCTGTTCTTATCTGGATTTTTGTTCTCAAGTAGAAGCAAAATTTAGCAAATGGAGCTGTTCTTAAGTGGAATTGTTCTTAAGTAGGGACGTTCTTAAGTAGAGACCCCACTGTAATATAATAATTTAGGGTGGGAAGAAGAGAGGCATCTTGTTGCTGACATTGTTAAACAAGTGGCATTTTAAAAAAAAACTTGTCAACTGCAAAACACCCAGAGTTCTAGCTTCTGCCCACCCTTGCTTTAGGGCAGTGGTTCCCAACTTTGGGTCCAAATATGTTCTTGGACTAAAATTCCCCGAAGCCTTCACCACCACCTCTGCTGGCCAGGATTTTTGGGAGTTGAAGTCCAAGAACATCTAGGAATAAAGGTTGGGAAGCACTGCTCTAGAGCAGGGGTAGGAATGTTGCTGCCTGTGGGCCATGTGGGTGGCACAATCCACAAGTCTCAGACCTCTGCTGGACATACCCCAGAGGTACTGCAGAATTACAAAATAATAGCCAGCCCAAATCTGACCATTGTTGTCCTTGGTGGACTCCAGGAATGATGATCCTTTTTTCTTAAGCAGGTATGGGATTGCTAATGCCTGCCGCACCTTTCTAAAAAAACATTACTTTTTTAATATTACAGCTCCACATTCCAACTCTGACATCACAGCTAGTAGCAGTTGTGGGAGTTGTGCTTCTTAAGTTGGCCTTGAAAAATTCTTGATAAAGCAGAGAAAGCTGCGACCATTGGTCTATCATCTGCCGTGCATTGTCAATACAGGCTTCTGACTGGCATCTCTCCCAGTCTGCCTGGAGATGCCCAGGGCTGAACCTGGGACTGTGTGCATGTAAAGCAGGGGTTTTGCGACAGAGCTGTGGCCTGTCACATGAAGGTTCTGGTCATGAGCTACACTAAGAGTCAAGCCAGACGCTGTTTACTCCGCAAAGACAATGGACGGTCCCAGTGCAAAGCATTATCCCTTTTCTAGCTTTCAAAGAATCCTTCCCATTCCACTTGTGCCCTTCTAAAACATACCTGCAAAGGTCAAGAGGACATGGGTTAAGGTGACCGTGATGGCATAATCCCAGACCCATCGTCTCAACAGCACAGCAAAGAGGAGCCCACTGGTGAAAAAGGTGAGGCTGGTGGCCAGTACTTTCGCTGAAGGAGAGGAAAAGAAAATGTAAGTCAGTGCTAAATGGTGCACAACAAGAACCACCACCACCCCATAAACACATTGCCACTGTGACAACCTTCCCTCTTCTGCTTCAGAATACAATCCTATCCACCAATACCCAAGGAAGTGAGTGCCCAAACACAGTACCAGGAGAGAAGGCAAAGTTGTCAAAGTTTTTTGATTGAAATTTTTATAATCATCTGCACAATATGTATGGCTTTAAAGAGCACCTAATAAACCCTTTGTAAACCAAATTTGACTTTGTTCTAACTTTTTTTTGCCCATAGGAATTAATTAGATTTCAATGCATTCCTATGGGAAAACGCATTTCCCAAGATGAATTTTTTGCAATACAACATTAACCGCGGAACGAGGCACCACTGTGTGTGTGAGAGTGTGTACACAGAGACACACATACAGTATATATACAGTATATACAGTATATACAGTATATACAGTATAGATAGATAGATAGATAAGCATACACATACAGTATATATACAGTATATACACACACACACACACACATACACACACAGTTGTGTGTGTGTGCGTGTATATATATATACACACACACACACACACACACAGTATATACAGTGTATATATATACACGCACTGAATATACTCTGTGTGTGTGTGTGTGTGTGTGTAAAATACAGGCTAGGAATATATATACTGTACAGCATATAAAATACAGGCTAGGAACAAAGTATTAAGATTTCCTTCCTTAAGTCATATACAGTATATATGACTTAAGGAAGGAAAGCTTAATACTTTGCTCCTAGCCTGTATTTTTCTCCATCATCAACCCCAGCTCCCCACCCCAGCCACACTTAAGAAGTGTTTCTGCAACAAAGGCCACACTTCCACAAGAGTAATGCATCAAGTCTTGCCTGATGGTGCAAAGCCAGCCACAGGCAGAGTCACAGGCAGAGCCGCCCCCTTTCCCCCTCCCTTTTCTTGGCCCAGGCTGGTCTTGACAGAACTCTGCACCAGAGTTGGGAAATATAGTCCTGGATTTTTATTTTTTTTATTACAAGCCTCAGGATCCCATGGCCACTGGGTGGGCTAATTAGGGCATCCTAGAACTTTGCCTGTGAATTCGGGATCTTCGACGTGAAAACAAAGCAGGTGTTCTAAACTGATTTACGGCACTTCCCCATGTAGGTCCAGCAGATTTCACACTCTTCACAGAAGTCCTTCCATTAAGTGTCGTGCCTTCACGGCGTTTTGTAGCTCCCTCTGTCCATAAACGGCAGCTCCATCTCTATAAGCTTAAAAAAAAATCTCCCCAAAGGCATTCTCACCAAGATAGTCTGGACTTGAGAAAGAGGGCTCGGTTTTAAATTCAAAAGGGGTGAGCAAGCCAAAGGTCTTGAGCCTGCAAGAAAGAGAGAGAGAGACACTCTGAGATTTAAAACCACAATGATCAAAACAAACAAATACATTCTGCATTCACATTATACATACATAGAGTAACGGAGAGGCAATGTAGGGCAGTGGTTAGAGCACTGAACTAGAAAATGTGAGATCTAGGGTGACCTCTTTCTCTGTCTGGTCTACCTCACAGGGAGGTTGCGAAGAGGAAGCAGGGCATGCTGCTTTGAACTCCCACGATGGAAGCCACTGCCAAATCTTTTCTACAACCTCTATTCTTTCCTCTAATTGCAATTTATCACGCTGAGTACTCTTCACAGCAGAGAGTGGTTCATTTATTTGTTCCATTTCGTTTCATTTGTAGATTTGATCTTGCCACCAGCTCTGTCAGATTGAATACCACTCTGTAACCTTGACAGTTAAGTATGTTCTTCCCGGGACAGTTTAATATGTGGAATTATTAAAGATTACTGCTATCTTGCCAAGCTCGGCAGTAGGGGGGTTGAGTTGATCTGGGAGGCCATAAATTTGTTTTATCCCTGTTGACTTTTCATTGCAGGATTAAGTTTTGTTGGTTTACAATTTAAATGGACTGGCACTTATGGTAAGGGATTTAGAAACATGCCATAAAACTTGATTCTTCATGTGTGTGTTTTTCTGGACTGTCACATTTAAAATTTGGGGGCTGGAAAAGGGAACAGCACAACTGAATGCTCAGCTAGAACTTAAAAAAATAGAATTCTACATAACAGAAAACAAAAACTGCAAGCCTGAGCAGAGGGGAGTAAACAACTTACTTAGGGAATACATCTCAACGAGACTTTCTTTGGAGTAAAGTGGTGTAAGACTGCACTGTAGATTTGAGACGCAGAGCAGCCAGCTCCAAAGAAGAGGAGAACTTCTGTTAGAAACAAAACGAGATGTGCTCTTATTGTCCTCATCAGCCCCACCTAGAATCACCCATGGTTAAGGGATTGTGGGAGTTGCAGTCAAAAATTTCCGGAGAACAAAAGATTTTCCATCTTTACATGAAGTGATTTGATGGGGGGGGGGGAAATGAAGAGAGCCATGTGGTCCTTGCATAATACATTGTGAGAGCAGGCAATACCTTTATTAGATCACTAAAAATCATACAACCTGTTAGCATTTGTGGATCAAAACCCACTTCTTCAGGCATGCACCAGTATCATTAGTGCAGAGAATTCAGAGTTTCAAAAGTTCATGGCGGATGGTGTGCCAGGCTTGTTTACATGTAAGAAACAACTAAGAAATCATCTGCACTAACAAGAAGACACTGATGCATGCCTGAGGAAATAGGTTTTGATCCACAAACACTAGCAGATTGTATGTTTTTTTAAAGTTGTCTAATAAATGTATCACCTACTCCTGCATTGACTTAATACATTTATAAGGTTGAAACAGGCTGGCCAGAGTCCTCCTTTACAAAGGACAGTGCTCTTTTAAAGGCAGCCCCTGAAGACTTTAGTGGTCCAAATCTACTTAAATATAAAAGAAGTCAGAGCAGGGGCCTTGAAGTTGGTCACAAAATTGCCCAGTATGAGGAAGATGAGATGCATGGGGTTTTAAGTCAAATGGCGGTCATTATCCACAAATGTGCACCTATAATGTAATCACCCTAGGCATGTGCTATACAAATCTGTCTTCTCAGGGGAGAGGGGTGTTAAGTATCTGCCCTAGCATGGCAAGAAAATCTTTACTATGCTTGTTCTGGAGAAGCTATTTTGATTGCAGAAACAAGCTGTCAACATGGGTCTCATAACAGCAGAAAGCTACATGGAAATTGAATAAATGGCCTACACTATAATTAGCTGTTGTGCCAGAACCACAGTGTACAACAGAGTGGAAAAGGACATTCTCCCCTGGGAGCAACTTTGGGAAGTCTGAAGTCTGGTGGGAAATGCTAAATGAAGAGGTTAAGAGAGTAACATTTATGGTTCAAGAGAATGGCCTCACCTGAATATCCCACAGCAAATGCTCCAGATCATGTAATACACTGTGTAGAAAACAAGGAGGCACAGTAGTATGTGAAGAGTAATGGCCTGGAAATGCAAGCAGGAGAAAAAGGTCAAACATCTGCAAAGGGATTGGGTTTTTTTTCTTTCTTTTTATTTCATTTTTGTGTGTGTGAAAAAAGCTGAACTGTATTTACCTTGTGGAAGGGCATGATATGTTGTTTCTCAAACAAGAGCATGGGGGATTTTAAGAGCAGGAATGTGGGGCATTTGGACTTCCCTATGTTGTAGAACTCCTATTCCCATCAGCCTGTCATATTCACAGATGGCTGGGGTTGCTAGGAATTGTCATCTATCACTTACTGATGTGCCACAGATAGATCACCCCAACCGCTGCTTGCTGTTTCAGAAAACTAGGCACCTACACATTTTCTATGGTGAAAAATTTGGGAGTTCTCTGTAGGATCAAACACCTCCTATTGTCAGGTGAAGTTAAACTGCTATATTGAAACACAAGGGTCCTGTTTGGCTGGAAATGCAGGCAGGTAATAATATTGTTAATCTGGCTGCAATTGGCTCATCTACAGGATAAAAGCAATTTTATTCAAAATGTGTGTCCCAGGATCACTGACCTGACAGTGATTTGGACTTCTAAAGTCACTTTGCCATAACAGTGGCAACAGTTTCAAAGCTCCCAAAGGCTTCCCCAGGACAAAAGGGAACTCTATGTGCCTAATCCAAAGCAAACTGCAGGGTAAATGGCTATTGTAATTGCACACACACACCCCAAGAGACGTTCCAATCACACTAGTTTTTAATTTGTGGTCTACCAAGACCTCAAAATCCTTTTCCCACATGCTGTTGCCATGCCTGTGGTCACCCATCCTATGTTCCTGATTTTTTTTACATTGAAATATAGAACTTTACATTTTTCTCTGCTGAAATACAAGTATTTTTGTTTTGTTTCAGTCCTCCAGTCTCCTAAGGTCATCCTGAATCCCAATTCTACCTTCTGAAATATTTTTTCTACTCATCCCACTTTAGTGTCATCCACAAATTAGGCCTTCATCCAAGTCATTTATAAAAAATTTTGGAATAATGTTAGGCCCAGGACAGAACCTAAAGCGCCCCCATTTTCATAGCTCTCCAGGATGAGGATGCATAATTAATTGATGAGCACTCCTTGGCTACGACCTGTCAACCAGCTACAAATCTACTGACAGTAACATTGTCTAGCCCACATTTTACTTGTTCCATAGGCATCCTTCAGTCTCGAGAGACTATGGTAACATGCTCTGAATCGAGGACTGTCCTCTCCAGAGCACGAAACCTGGGTAAAGTAATATGGAGGATAGGCTGTTACCCAAGCAGCAAATCCCCCCCTCTCCACGTTGCTGAAATGGTCCAATGGAAAGGCAAGAGCCAATACAACTGGTTCCAGCAACCACCCCTCCAGGGTGGTTCCGACACCCTACGGTGTCCCAAAACGGGTCAGAATTCAGCCCAGGGGACAGAGCTCTGCCCTCCTGCTGCTGTCCCGTCGCGACGTCAAGCCGGAACATCAGAATGGGGGATTTTAAGAGCAGGAATGTGGGGCATTTGGACTTCCCTATGTAGAACTCCTATTCCCATCAGCCTGTCATATTCACAGATGGCCGGGGATGCTAGGAATTGTCATCTATCACTTACTGATGTGCCACAGATATATCACCCCAACCGCTGCTTGCTGTTTCAGAAAACTAGGCACCTACACATTTCCTATGGTGAACAATTTGGGAGTTCTCTGTAGGATCAAACACCTCCTATTGTCAGGTGAAGTTAAACCACTATATTGAAACACAAGGTTCCTGTTTGGCTGGAAATGCGGGCAGGTAATAATATTGTTAACCTGTCTGCAATTGGCTCATCTACAGGATAAAAGCAATTTTATCCAAAATGTGTGTCCCAGTCAAAAACGAACCTTGTGTTTCAATACAGGATTGTAGAGCGGGTGAGTACTGAATGTGTGGCAGCTCTCCATCCAGCAGGATTGGAGGCATGGCTATGCAACTGCTGGGGGAGGGCTTAGAATCGATCCCCCACAGATACCACAGTCCTACTGTATTTCAAATTAGACTCTCACTGGTTTGCATAGGTGAAACCACTGTAGCCACCCAGACCACAAACAATCATTGTGTTATAGGAAACAGTAAGGGCAGAAGGAAAGGCAGAGAAAGCTGTCAACTTTGTTTGGACAGAGCTCTAACATTGGACACTACCTTTGATCTGACAAGGTGTCAATTGGCAATTTCCACTGGGAACACCCCTTCTTTCTGCCTCTTCCCCTCTCCACAAGCTGGCATAGCGCATATCTAAAACAGCACTAACTTGGGGGCATTTTAAAAAAATAAAATAAGCAATGCGCAAAATTCTATTGTGTAACTTTGCACAGCATAAACCAGATTGGGATGCCAGAAGTAATTACTGTCATGGAAAGCTTCCCCTTGATACTTCTGTGGCTCCCTAGAGCTCCCTTGGGAAAGCCTTTGGAATAGGAGGGAGGTTATTTAAAAGTGAAAAATTGCTGCTGGGTCACTGCTGGTGGTCCTGATCACACTATCAGTGACCTGACAGTGATTTGGACTTCTAAAGTCACTTTGCCATAACAGTGGCAAAGCTCCCAAAGGCTTCCCCAGGACAAAAGGGAACTCTAGGAAGCCTTGGAAGCTAAAATGGGGAGGTAAGGTAAAGGTAAAGGTAAAGGTTCCTCTTGACAATTTTTGCCCAGTCGTGTCTGACTCTAGGGGGCAGTGCTCATCCCCGTTTCCAAGCCATAGAGCCAGCGTTTGTCCGAAGGCAATCTTCCATGGTCACATAGACACGGAACGCTGTTACCTTCCCACCAAGGTGGTCCCTATTTATCTACTCGCATTTGCATGCTTTCGAACCGCTAGGTTGGCAGGAGCTGGGACAAGTGACGGATGCTCACTCCGTCACGTGGATTCGATCTTATGACTGCTTGGTCTTCTGACCCTGCAGCACAGGCTTCTGCAGTTTAGCCCACAGCGCCACCACGTCCCTTAAAAACAAAATGGGGAGGAGGGAGCTTTAAATAAATTTAAATTAACTACTTCCAGCACCCCAATCCAGTTTTATGCCGGCAGAACTGCACCAACAGGATTTGTGCACTGCCGTGGGGAACTGACACCCCCATGAGCACCCCCTTGCATCCGATCAGGTGACCACACAGGGCAGAACCTGGAGAAAAACCCAGTCAGAGTCAAATCAAACCACCACAGCTGGCTGAAGGAAAGGAGACCCATTCCCCACTGAAAAGAGACATTTCTGCAGTGGGCTTCCCTACACTGAGCTTTATGTCATGCCATCCCCTTCCTTTAATTTGATTTAATATGTGCCTAATCCAAAGCAAACTGCAGGCATTTTTCTCTGCTGAAATACAAGTATTTTTGTTTTGTTTCAGTCCTCCAGTCTCCTAAGGTCATCCTGAATCCCAATTCTACCTTCTGAAATATTCTACCTTCTAACCATCCCACTTTAGTGTCATCCACAAATTCATCCAAGTCATTTATAAAAAAAATTGGAATAATGTTAGGCCCAGGACAGAACCTAAAGCGCCCCCATTTTCATAGCTCTCCAGGATGAGGATGCATAATTAATTGATGAGCACTCCTTGGCTACGACCTGTCAACCAGCTACAAATCTACTGACGGTAACATTGTCTAGCCCACATTTTACTTGTTCCATAGGCATCCTTCAGTCTCGAGAGACTATGGTAACATGCTCTGAATCGAGGACTGTCCTCTCCAGAGCACGAAACCTGGGTAAAGTAATATGGAGGATAGGCTGTTACCCAAGCAGCAAATCCCCCCCTCTCCACGTTGCTGAAATGGTCCAATGGAAAGGCAAGAGCCAATACAACTGGTTCCAGCAACGTAGCAGGAGTTGGCAGAACGACACATGCTGCCTTCGGGACTGAGAAGATGCAGACAGGAGGAATGTGTTGACTTTTCCTTTCCCCTCTCCTCTCCCTAGTCCTTTTCTCTTGTTCATTTGTATCCTAACTAGGTTCTGAGACAGCCAAGGACTTCAACTGTCTCCAGCCACAAATGCAGAGAAAGTGATCTGGGGAGATGTGGAAAACTGGCAGGCAAATGAAACACTTTGATGCATATTGGTCTATGAGCACAGAACAAAGGTCCCCAAATGCTTCTGGTAGTATGCTTTCCTGCCATTTATGTGCCCTGTGGGGAGACATACTGTATATGCCTATGATAGTTTGGAAGAACTGTACTCGGCTTATTGATTGAAACCTGGGCTGGTGTCTCCTATAGTTTTATTCAGTTCTTAAGGAGGTTTATGGAGCCCATGTGCATTGAGGAGAGTGCACACCCAGAACATGGAAGCATGATATTCTGGAGAAAAAGAGATTGCTGTAAATGAGTGACTTCAGAGCTGAAAGATGGAGCAAGGAGTTCATTCCTTTGTAAGAATTATCCAGATATAACAGTTTTCACCCCTTCAGATTGTCACATTTCCATGTTCAGCACAGTAATGGCTAGTGCACTCCTCTCTACATGTTCATGTCCATACCGTCTCTTGACAACCGAGGAGAGCTAATATCAGGGACAAGGCATCTCCAGATGTTGTTGTCCTCCACATCCCATTATCCATCATCATTGGATGGCCTCCTCCTCCTCCTCCCCCCTCTCCTTCCTTCATCCCTGGCCTGTGCCAGCTGGATCAGGTCCCCATGTCCTTGCCCCGGGGAGACCTATTGGCCGCTCTCTCTCCGCAAGACATGAAGCAATCAAGTTCTCCTCTTCTCTCCACACGGACCTCCAGGGTCGGTGGCAGTCTATCCTTCAAGACCACGTTCTGGTGAGCCCAAGAGGAAAGAGGGGAGCATGGAGGGAGGGGGGCTTTCCCCGAGGCAGGCGGGGGGGCAGGCGTTGCCAGGATACGCAGGAGAGTTGACGTTCCAAAGGGGGGGGGTCTTGGCGGAATGTCCACCTCTGGGCTCAACGGTCAGTTGGTCAGTTGGCCAGTTGACCGTTGGAGACTCCTCTGGACAGTGGTGTGAAGGGGATGCTCTGTGGGTCACGCCCCTGTTTTAGCGTTTCGCCTGACAGTTATCAGCCCCTAAGCATGTTTCCGAGGCTGTGAGTATTTCCATGGGCCTGTGTCTGAAGATGTCACAGGTTTCTCCCTCCGGGGACCCTAAAACTCTTTCCTGGCTCGGCCACCAAGGTTATTCCCCCAAGCAACCCTGCGAGGGAGGGCAGGCACAGAGAGTGACTGAGCGAACAGCCCCTCAAGCTCACACTCGGGTCCACTTCCTGCTGTGTTTGCCTTTTATTGAAGGAAAAGCAAAGACTTGTGTAGTTTCCTGAAGCCGTTGTCATTGTGGAGGACCACGGCCGAGTCGTCCCGTAGTTAAGCTGACCCTCCTTCTGAGGGGCATGAAGTACTTTAGGGGTAGCTTCCCGTAGTCACCTCCTCCAATGAGTTTATGGGGCTGAGCAG